ATATATACCAAATTATTTTATTAAATAGGTGTTGAGATGTACCTTAAAAAACAATAAATATATAAATAGTCATTGACATGATCCTAGTCATTTTATTTTACCATAATCAAAACTTTTTTTTCTAGAAAATAAAAATCGTCTATTACTATTACTCTAAACCCTTAGATTTTAGATTCAAATTTTATTATTTATGGATGTAGTTGTTTAGTTATGATATAATTTATTAATTGATTATTCAACAATTATAATTTGATTATAATATAATAGTTAAATATTTAATTGATTATATGATATAATACTTGATTATGAATATAATTTAAAAACAAAAAAGACGTTTTCCCAAAACAAAACCTTGGAAGTGTTCAAGAACAAGTTATATAAAAACAAAGGTTTTTATAGCTTTTGGCTAAGGTAGTCGACGTTGCTACCCTAACAGCTGTTTAGTTTTGTTTATATCTTACTTTTCTCTTTCCATTTGAACGACAGACGGTGATGAAAAGTGTCTTTTGCTTGGCAATTGTCGTGGCAACAGTCTAAAGTTGCTTATAATAAATTCATATAGAACTAAAAAATTAACTCAGTTAATTTTTTATAATTATTTTAAAAAATAATATTTAATAAATTTACAGCGAGTTTAGAAATAAATTTTAAAAAGAGATTTCATTTATAAAGAGATTTTTAAAATTCTAAATTAAAATTATTTTATATGGCAAAATAAAAATTGAAATCATCAAAACTCTTAGAATTTGAAGAAAAAATTTTAGAGAGCTCAAATTCTCTTTTTTAAATTTCACTTAGAGAAGTAAAATTTGTGAAGTTTTTTATTTTTATGGTAAAAAGTCAACATTTATCATGTTTCATTTTCTTCACAACTTTTTTTTTTTTTTAATTTTAACTACAAAAACTCATTATAATTTTTTTTTTAAAAATTTTTTTATGTTGTTAAAAATATTTACATATTTTTACAAATCTCATGACACCCATATTACATTTATTTTTTAGTATTTTGCTTTTTATCTCTAATATCATTATTTATTATTATAATTATTTTTTATCTCATGAAATTTTAATATTTAAAATTTTTTTTCAAAAAATAATTATCTAAACAATGTAATTACAAATTCTATTATTTTGAATTGTTACTTTTTAAAATGCTAGCATTTCATAATTTTTTAAAATTTCAGATTTTTATATTTAAATATATTTTTAAAATTTAAATTTTAATACTTATAATTTTTTTTTTCTGTACGCCAAGAAAGATCATATAAATCCGGTTGCAAATCGTTTCAGATGTTCTATCGAAAATCTAAACATATAAGGAACAACAACAAATATTTGTTTTTTCTAAGGCAACGCAACTAATGATTAATGAATTAGTACTATCCCTTTTTTCTTTTGCCATCTTTTCTTTCTAAGATGTTTCAAAGTTACGTTCTTTTCATTTTTTTTGAAAATCTAAAATTTTTATATTTTATATTTTAAATTTTTTTTATTTTTTAACATTAAAAATCATAAAATTTTAATTTTATATAAAAAATTAACTTTAATATTGAATATATTAAAATCAAAACTTTTTTTTAAATTTCATAAAAATCAATAACAATCAAATAATTTAGAACGGAGGAAGTAAGTAACTTTAAATTCAAGTTTTATTAATAATAAATCCAATTTTCAAGTTGCCATAAGCACAATGATAATTTTTAGTTAGTTAACAAACCAACAAACGAAATTATGGCAAATGTTTACCTCCGGATTTAGTCCAAATGATTTTCTCATTTCTTTTAGATAGTATATTCTTACAAAAATAAGTTTTGATATGTAATATTTTTTAATTTTTCTTCTCTAATTTCTTTAAAATATGAACTCTTTTATTAAAAAAAAAAGAGAGAGAGAAAAGAATTATAGCAAATGCTATATATGAACTTTTTATCTTTTGTTTTAGGGAAAAATTAAAACATCATAATTTTTTTATATCAAGTAGGCTTGGTTGAAAACAAAGAATATGTGGACAAAAGTTTGGGGTCAATTTTGGGAACACTGTCTCCAACTAGTTAATGGCAAGGTGGAACTCACAAAAAACCCTAGCGTAGCCATCTTCTTTCAAGGTGTACAATTTGACCCAAACCCTTCATATTCAGACTATGAATCCTTTACTAATATCTCAAAAATGATTAGAGCCCTTGCCGACTTTATACGGCAGTGCGTCCTATAATCACCATTAGAAAATAGAACGTCAACCAAGTTGGCTCACGTCAAGCATGTGGCCTGCCAACCGATTACGTCTGATATGATTGTATCCCAAGAATCATCAACTTACATTTTCACCGTAGGAAGATTTTCATGTCTGTCGGCTTCCAATTCATTGATCCCGTATCACTCTTAGCACCTATCCCTTTCCTGGTTAACATGAATAAAGGAGGCGAAAAAAACGACAAATCGAAAAGAAAAAGTCAAAATAATGTAGGTCTGGCCTGTTCGGGGTTGGGGGGGAGAGACTTTCTTTAAAGACAAGTAGGTGGACCTCAATGACATTTCCTTGAAAGTAAATGTTTTCCCTTGATTCTGTAATTTGTCCAAATTCATTTCTTAAATCCTATGGGATCAGTCATCAGCTACGGTTCTAGCATATAAACAACATAACACTGATCATTGCTAGGAAACCAAAAGAATGTCAAGAATGGAGATTAGCGGTTCTAGTAGGTGATGACGGTTTATTGGAATCAATAAAGAGGGTTAGGTAATGTACAACAATAAGGACTTCCGCTAAAAAAGCCATTCCTCTATGTAGTGCTTGATATAAGATGATCATTTTAAAAGTTATAGTGATTTATGCATAATGATTACATCATTATATTTGATAAGTACTCATCAATTTTATGTGACAATAATATTAAATCATTAAGAATGATCAGATCAGCATCATTATTTTAGAGGATAATATAATTCTCACATAAAATGATAGTAAACTTTTATCATCAAGATAAAGTGATATATAACATTAATAATAATCAATTTTATCCACTTAATATGTGAATTAAAATCTTACTTTCTCTTAAAATTATAATTAGTTTATAATTTTTATTTTTTAAACTAATTCATTGTGGCAAATTCAAGAATAATTTATGTATGTTTTTACTTTTTTTAATATTTTATATATAATATAATTTTTTGCTTTCTTTTATTATCAATTTAATAGATTGGTTTTATTTTTTAATTCAAATATTTTTTACATAATTTATATTATAAAATCAATTTCTCTATCAATAAATATATTTATTAATTTAATAATATTTTATTATAAAATAAATAAATATTGCTAATATTTTATAAATTATTAACTTTAAATAATCTTAAATTTATTAATTTATGTAATTATTACAATATACATTATTATTTTCATATTATTAAACAAAATATTGTTTGATTTTTAGTATTATCAAATACAATAATTTTTAATTTTTAAAATTAATAATTATTTATTAAATAAATTGATTTCAAATCACGAAAATTAAGATTACTTTGATAATAATATCGCTTTGATAATTATATTATCATAATAATTTTACAAAAAATACCAAACATTATCTTAGATGAAATTCTGGGATCTAAATGGAATAGGGTCGACTCAAAACTGCTTCTTTTTTACTATGGCATTCCTTGAAATAAAATTGGATGCAGCATATGATTCTAGTTTTGGCCATCTTAAAATCAGGGAGAAGGAATGCAATTCAAGCGGCTGATTCCCGTTCTGTTTGATACGGAGGATATATAGAACCAGGCGGCTAATGCATTTGCACTAATTAATAAAAGTTACTAAGTTGATAAAAGATAAAATTTACGTAAAATTTTGTAAGTGAAGTTTATAAAATTTTTTATTAAAAATAAATAAATAAAAATTTTAATAAAAAATATAATTGATAGATTGATAAAGTTTAATATAAAAATTAATAATATATAAAAAATTATTTATAATTTAAATTTAATCAATACTTATTTAATAATAAAAATTTTGTTGATATTTTTTATTAAAAATATCTATTTAATAAATATATAAAAAAATTTCAAAATTTTCACGTTTAATATGAAATCTTTTAATCTATCAATTTTAATAAATAATTTCACAAACCTCATCCATAAAATTTCATGCAAATCTTTTTCAATTGATAATGGCCTATGCTATGCATGTACCAGTCGCATCCGAACTTTTCATCCGAATTTCTAAACCTTCTGGCTATGGGCCATGTACCCGACCTTGCCCTTATTTTCGGGTTTTTTTCATTTGTATTGTCTAATTCAATATTTGACCCATTATCAACTTGCAAAAGCAAATTTCAGATATAGAACCAACTCAGTTTCAAACTTGAACACACTATCTTTATCAAAATAATAATTAGTATTCAACTAGTAACCAGTTGACTATTTCCAACATTTTTTTTTTGAGTGTCAAACATTCCAATTAGTAAATTCCAAAGGAGTCCTCATTATAGTATAATAATTGAAATTGTTCTTTGCTTCTAAACTTGGACTTGGATCAAACCAAACAGACTTGGCACGATGCTTCCTGTCATTGAGGTTTGACAAATCTAATTGGGTTAATATTTCGATCTATCCTTACATTATAATAAAATATTTAATATAATTTATAAATTTTAAAAATCTTCAATATAATATCTAAATCATAAATTTTTAATTAATATGATATTCACTTTTAATATACTAAACTCTCAATGATAAAAATAACTTTTCAAATACCATATTAATTAATAAATTTATTATTCATGACATTAAAGATTTTTAAATTTTAAAAATCATATTAAATATTTCATTGAAATTCAAAAACCATCTAAACAATAACCCAACCTGATTTCCATTTTTTAAAAACTCATCAGTCTGGAATCGGCCACAAATCTTTTCACTGACTATAAAAGCAAAGTCCTTCCTATATTATTACATTTAAAAAGCTACAAAAAAAAAAAAAAAAGTGGAGTATAATTCTCCAAACTTGATTGCATTTATCATTTACTGTATCTAATATTTACGCTACAATCATATCTTAAACTCGTAACAAATTTAAATGCTTCTGTTTAAATCAACAGTACACTCCTAGCTATGGTCTACACAGACAGGACTAAGACTTACTCTCCACATCCTGAGTCAAAATTTTGAGACATTTCACCTAAATTATGGGAAAGTTCCTCAAATCTAACTCTTAACGTTTCACAACTTTAGTTCCATGTAGTTAATACAATCCCCCAAAGAGAATTACGTATAATGTGAGCTCTCATATGCAAAAATCATGTACAGATGGATGGAAAAGGGCAAATTATACTTTCTATTACCGAGGTCCGGAAAGCTCCATTGCTTCAATGATGAAGGATGACTCTTCATGGACGTCACTATAATTCCTAGAGAAGCTACATGCCCTTGTCTCACAAAGGTTTGCTCCACCTTGTGATCCCTCCGTACCTGACCGCACAAGACCTTCCAGGACCTTCAAAACTTCCGACATCTTTGGGCGAAGGTGCGGTTGTGACCGAGTACACTGCAGAGCAAGCTCTGCTGTTTTTTCCAACTCTATTGCATCAAAACATCCCTTCAAATCCCTGTCCACTAGCACTTCAAGCCTCTTCTCCTCATGCAATGATCTAACCTGTATCGACCATAAAATATCTTCAAATTAAATATGGATAAATAGTAAGGAACAAAGAATACGAGAAGTTAGTTCTAACAAGTTTTAGGTGGGGAAAAAGTGGACAAATAATTAATAAAGGCAAAAATAATATCACAACCACGAAGGCTTAAGTTTATGCTGGCTGCTGTTACAACAAAGCCAACATGCATTATATTTCAGTGATCTGAATCTTGTTAACATGAAAGGGTGGGTCTTATCCAAGATGATAAGGATGGGGTAAATATTAAAACATTTTTGGCAACAATGGTGTATCGTTGGAATTTTGCTGAAAATAACAAGCACACAAATTACTTAAAGCCTTAAGTTATACTTTATAATGTTTTTGCAGGCATACAGAACTTTATCTAAATAAAGCACCATGCACCTGAACTGGCAGCTACAAACATGCATATAATTACTTACCCAGTCAAGAATCATCCCCTTTTGAATCTGTCCATTACCAGCGTCTAATGTCTTTTGTCCTGTGATGAGCTCCAAGAGTAGTATCCCAAATCCAAAGACATCTGTTTTTTCGGAAGACTGTCCAGTTGAAAGATACTCCGGGGCAATGTGTCCTACAGTACCCCGCACAGCAGTAGTAACGTGTGAATCGCGTTTATCTAAGAGCTTAGCAAGACCAAAATCCCCTACCACAGCTTCAAAACTTTCGTCAAGCAAAATATTTGCAGCTTTCACATCCCTGTGAATTATTTTTGGATTACATTGCTCATGCAAATAAATAAGTCCACGGGCAGCTCCAAGGGCAATATGCATTCGTCTATTCCAATCCAGAGAAGGCTTTTCACGACAAGTATCTGCTACAGATAATCAAATTAGAAGGTAATAGCAAGGCCAGGAGAGGGGTAAACAAGAAAAATCTGTAAGTGCTTCATACGACAGATGAATAGTTTATGACTATTCCATTTGAGCCACAAGAAAGGGATGAAGAAATTAAGCAAGGCTAGTTGCAAACTGATCTAAGCTCAAATTTGAGATGCACAACCTAAAAATGACAATGCCCGCATGAGACCACAAATTAACGTAAGCCCTAGTCATCTGATAAATCAACCAAAGAGCAAGAGAAAGAAGAATGGCATGATGAGGATTGAGGACAGAAGCACAATAAAAAAAAAAGAAACAAACCTCTTAAGCGATCAGCAACACTCCCATTTGGCATATAAGGATAAACAAGCAATCTCTCATCAGGTGTCATGCAGAAGCCATATAAACGTAAGAGGTTTCGGTGAAGAGCTAAACCTATCATCTCTACTTCAGTTTGAAATTGCACTTCTCCTGTGAAATTTGGATCTTTTAGCCTTTTAACTGCCACCACTGACCTATTTAGAAGACATCCTTTATAAACAACTCCATATCCTCCATGCCCTAGAATATTTTTGGGATTAAAATTGTCCGTAGCAATTTGCAGTTCACGAAATGAGAACCTCTTTAGATGACCAATATCAAAATCATAATCTTGCTGCACTGCAATTCAAATTTAAACAATTTCTCAAATTTCAACGATTAAACAAATTTTCAGTGCTAAAAAAGCATAAAACATGAATTTGGAAGTACCATATGATGTTAGCAAAAGTCGAGATCTGTACCAATGCACCCAACAAACAAGCAGCATCACAGAAACCACAAACGTGGAACTGATCCCTATGGCAACAGAAAGCACCCACCGATGATATCTACTGATTCTAGAAGATGAAATTGAGCCTGCCACTAAATGATTGAACATGTTACATTGGAATCATTAAAGAGCATCATGGAAAGGCACTTTGATAGATTCTATCAACATACCATTTAATGGTTTCGAAAAATCTGTGCAAATTTGTTCAGATAATGAAGCACAAAGAAAGTTGTTCCCTGTAATACTACATAATGCCAAAAGTTCATGGAGCTTGAAGTGAATGCAAATGATTTATCAGCAAGATTGTTCAGAATACGAAAGAGAATATTTAAGCTTCGGGTTATTGATGTAGAATAAAAGCTCTTTTCTGCAAAGAAGCTTACCTATAACCTTTTGCAAGTATTTTTGGAGTAGGACCACTGAGATTATTAAATGACAAGTCCCTGCACAAAATTGTTGAAGTTAATAGAAGTCATCACTTCACAGCAGTCTGAACTAGAAATATGGTTACATAATGGAACATGTACAAGAATGAAAGACCAGTGAGATTTGCAATGAGTCCAGGAATAGGTCCAGATAAATTGTTCTTGCTAAGCCGCCTGAAAAAGCCATGGCAAAGATTTAGAAAGCAAATATTCAGAAAACACGCACAACAGCAATAGTCATAAGAATGCACTGAACAAATGTCAGACCACACTCACAGGTAACTTAGATGAGTTAGAGCGCCCAAAGAACTTGGAATAACTCCAACAAGTTGGTTACCAGAAAGATCCAGAGTTTGAAGCTCTGAGAGCTTCCCTATCTCATCTGGGATGGGACCTGACAACTGATTGTTTTGCAACAACCTACAAAAACAGAAATAGAAAGCATCTCAATGAAAGTGAAAAAGATTCACATGAATTTTCATGTTCTGGGAACAATTACAAAGAAGGTCTACTCCATAAAATAACTTCGCAGTTCCTCCCAAAAATCACAAGAGGGTGGAGACGAATAATTAACTTTGTAAATTTTAAAAATGAATTCAAGAGAATAAAACTAAGTTCTGAGAACCAACTCGGGCATCTCTTCCAGCAAGAATATGTCCCCAGTGCACTATAAAGCACATTTTGCATAAGTAAATCAACTTCTAGAACTATACTATCTTAAAGAAGAACCTACTTTCTCACTGAACACGTGCACCAGATGTATATATTCAGAATCACTATCCTTTAGACAATAGCCTCCCAAACTCAATCCTACCCTCATTTTAATACTCCATTAAAAAAAAAGTCTCCGGCAATCCTAATCACTAATACAACATCAATTTCACACAAAAGAGTGTTAGCCGTACAACAACCAATTGGATTCTGATCCTGAAAGAATTAGCAGTGGAATTACAGAAACGAATTAGATAAGACAGTAGACTCACATTGTCCTCAGGTGACTCAAATTCCCAATGCTTGTTGAAAGCACTCCAGACAACCCCGTGCTGGCCATTTCCCTATCAACAACAATATTTCCAAAAACCAATCTCATTTTTCTTCTTTTATCAAAACATTAACAATTCAAAAAGAAATTATTAAAAACAAAAAGGAAGTTTAAAGTGTAGAAAACGAGAACAGTTCCTTACAGTGAGATAACGAAACCTTCAGCGGAACAAGCGACCATGTTCCAAGTACAAGGATCAACCGAGTTAATATCCCAGCCGTCCAATACGTGCCTATCATCTCTCATCTCTCTCTTCACCGCCATCAAAGCAGCCACTGTTATTTCAATACCACCCAAAATCAACAACCAAAACAAATATATATTTAGAGTAAAATTTCAACAGTCTTAATCAGTGGGGTAGCATTCTTTTTTTTTTTTTTTTCCTTTTTAAGATAAGAAATTAAGAACCCAAATTCACCTTCATAGTTAACTCCTTTTGGAGAGAGGAGACTATCACCAGCTGAAACAGAATGGACCCAACAAAACCAAAGAAAAAGGAACAAAACAATCCACATTACGTGCTGCTCCATTGAAAGTTAGACAAAATCAACTACAAAAAGAGGAGGAGCCAAAGCCCAAAGTTAAAAAGGGCAGCTTTTAATTCTTTTTCAATAGGTTTTGACTAATGAGAGTAAGGCCAAAATGTACTGACAAAAAAAAAAAAAGCTGAAGACTGGATTTGGCTAAAGTTTGGTTTTTTGTGTTGAATTCTATTGTTTGCAACCCACCCTTTTTCCTTCGGATTCTCTTTTCTTTTTTTCTTTTTTTTTTTTCAGTCTTGGATAGATAAATTTCTTTGTATTTTTAGGCAAAGTATCAAGAAAAAGATTATTTTTTTTTTCTTTTTGGGTGGGATCGTAAGACCAGGAGATTGGCTTTTGAAATAGGGTAAGTCCTCGAGATATGTGAAATGACAGAGATTGTCGCTTTGTCTTGATTTGAAGTGTATTTTTGTATGGTCATGAAGTTTGGATTTGTCTGATTTGAGTGAGTTTTTAGCCGTTGAGATCATACTGTTGGACTGCTGATTCAAAATGGACGGTTCATGAGGGGCTTAAGTGTTTTGAGTAGACAACATCAACATAATTTCACATACTTGTAAGTGGTCGACACTGGCGCGAAATTTCTTGTTGCCGGGAATTTTGGATTTCTCCCGTGTAGTGTATACAGTGGTCCTAGGCCCAAACGGCAACGTTTCCTTACGAGCCTACAAAAAGAGGCTTTTATTTTTTGCAAACATGAATTACATAATTTAAAAAATAAATTCTCTCTCGACCTATAAATGTTACGATACTCATCCAAATTTTGAATCTAAATTCAAGGCATTGCAATTGAAATTCTAATTGCTTAAATTCTCCTTCGACATCAAAAATTAATTCTTAATAATTAAAATTAATTTTTAATAGTTTATGACTTTTTATTATTTTCATTAACATCATTTTTCCTCTTAAAAAATAATTAATAAAAAAATTAGACATTTTATCTATTAGGAAAGGAAGGGACAGAGAGAGGGAGGTATGAAAACAGAGAGGAAAGGGAGAAATTGGAGGAAAAGAGAGAACAAAATGTTGAAAGTGGGGGATGTGGCATGAGCAAAAGGGCCTTAATCAAATCAATTTCGTTGGCAAACATTGAAAAAGGGGGCCAGCTCAGTGTCTTTTGACGACCACAAAGAAGACGTAATTATTAACGCATGGAACCTAAGGCTGGCTAAGGGCATCTTCTTTTGACAAAATCATGCACCCAAAAATATCATTAGCTCTTCTCTACCATGTCCATACTGACAGTCCAATCAAGTCCCAACAAAAGACCAAACGGCACTGGCCATCAGATTTTATATTTGTTCTACCTTTTCTCCTTCGGCTGAGTTACAGTAATGACCAATGAGTAATCTTCCTCTCTTCTTTCCCAAGAGATAATCGGCATTCATTCCACCTTGTCCCGCATGCCACAGCTTTTCTTGAGAAAAATATGTAGGACCGCTATCACATTCCATCAAAGGACGAAAGAATCAGCTTTGCAATATTGCTTCGCTGAGATTTTGTTGAAACAGAATGAGACTGGGAATTTGATTTTTAACATCACATAAACAAAAGCAGCAGTAAATAGAGAGTAAAAACATTACTTTGCACAAACAGTTACAATAATTGTCTGAAATTTGAAGTCAGCCACCACAAACCACCATAATAACTAAAAACAAAGAACAAAACCAAACCCAAAAAACAACTAGCCCATCCCTTATCTTCGGGCCACTTCTATCCGGGACCTTCCTAGCAACAAATACACTTCTCAACTTTTCCCCCACTAGCAGCTTTCTGGTCTGTCCACCTTAGTCTCTATCTTTTACTATCAAACATGTTACATGTACATGACAAAAAAGGCATTTTGACAAAAAGTAAAACTCATGGAATAAAGAAGAGAGGCAGAATTAAAGTAGAAACATCGAGAGAAGGCAGCCACCCAGCTGCCACAGATTGTTCGCGTCGTGGAAGAGGAGAAAATAATGCTGGACAGGCCTCAATCAATGGTGGTTATCGAAGATAGTACTTCCTCTGTGTTACGCATCAACTAGGAGATAACAAATCTTACATCACTTTTACAATTTTATGTCCCAGCTGGATGCATGAAATGTGGTAGCCCTATTTGCCGTTTCACATGATCTGGAATCAACTTATTAATAAGCTCCGGTGAGGCCACAGATAACTGTAACCAAAAGAATGCAAATGACTAAAAAAGCACTGACTTGAACAAGAAGCAAAATTCTAGCTGCAAAATAAACCCAATCTAAAATATATAATGAAGATATATATCTGTATCAATGGAAGGCACATGGTAATGAAGTTTAGTTCAGAAACATACTTCCTGTTTAAAGTTGAAAAGTAGTGGTAAAGGTCGCCCATTTGGTAGGCGAGCATTAGGTTCTCGAAGCTCATCAAAGAAGGGATGTGCACATGCTTCAAGCTGTCACAGCAAAGAAATGATAATAATTACATAAGATTGGGTGGTTATCACTAAAATATTTGGGAAAGCCAAATCGATAATTGAAGGTTTGTGCATATTGTCCAAGTCTAAAATGGAAATACAACTGATCATAAGCGGGAGACACAAGCAACTCACTGCTGTACAGCGAAGACTTGGTGAGTATTGCAGCAGTCGTGAAGCAAGATCAATTGCTTCGGGAGGCATCCTTTTGTGAAAAACCTAAATACGTAAGAGTCCAATTAAAGTTAATTGACCAATGCATTTATATTATAACAACAATGCAGTGCATTACTCAAAATCAATCAAATATTTCTGCCCTCAGAGACCTTGGTAGAGAAAAATTCAAAACTTCTATATATATTCAAGAAAAAAAAAATCAGCTAATATCCATAAGGCATTACAAAATATGTGACTCCACACCAATCATTTAAGTGAAAAATTTATAAATTTATAGAAGGGCAATAAAAGGCAAACCTTATGCCATGGATGCGCTTTAATCTGTGGAAACCTAAAATCCGTGTAATTGGGATTCATGCAGCGTATTTCTTCCCTGGTGGGTGTACCTAGGACCTGTAGAAAAAGATGTAAGAAGCAAAATCCTGATACAAAGAAATGCATAACTTCCAGCATCACTAAGCAAGCCATACTTTGATAATCTCTACAAGCTGGTCCACAGCATTCTCTCCAGGAAACAATGGCTACAAAGGAAAAAAAAAAAAATTAAGCACAAATGAGCAAAGAAACTGAATTATTGCTAGAAATTTTGAGAAAAATAAAAATCAGAAAAAAAAAAAAAGCAAATACTAACCTGGCCAAGCAAAAGTTCAGCAAGAACACAACCAGCTGACCAGATATCAATTGAGGTTGTGTATTCAGTGGCACCAAAGATAAGTTCTGGAGCCCGATAGAAACGCGAACATATGTATGAAATGTTAGCTTCACCTTTGACCTGATCACAAGTAATAGTAAGTATGAAGTGTTTACACAGAAAAAGACAAGCAAAAGAGGATCATATACATGTTAATACTACTCTTAGATCTGATCCTGTCCTTTTTTCTTTAGCCCTTCACCCCTACAAAGAGGCCATAAAAGACGGCTACATTAAGGTGGCAAAGCTAACAAGGGAAAAGAGACTGTTTCAAAAGGACCAAGCTGGAAAAGATTCAAGATCAGTTAAAATCCCAATTTTATAAAGTATTTATGATGACATAAAAGAAGGGCCAAAGTTTAAGCAGTTTGCACAATCAACAGTGAAGAGTCATTAAATTGCATTATCATGTTATCACAATGTTGATTTTGCAATTGAGTACAAGGGTAATACCTTTTAACCTTGACAAATAGCAGATGATAACAGATGAAGTCTATCCTTTTAGAAGTTACACTCACAATCAAACATTCAAAAAACACGAGCTAAAATACTAATTTAGATTCAGAAACTTATGGACCCAACAATAATATTTCACTTGGAGCAAAACTAATTGGTCGACTAAAAGGTCAGTCACAAATTTGAAAGGAAAAGCACTTAGAAAATTAGTATAAGGGGGGTCAACTTACAAGCACTTTTGCGCTTCCAAAATCACAAATCTTAACCTGGTGAGTCAGAGGATCAACCTGTAAAAAGCAAACAATCGCATCAGAGACATGGTCAAGACATTCTTCAAAAAATCATCAGTAAGAAAGGCATACCAAAAGATTTTGAGGCTTCAAATCCCTATGGCAAACTCCAACAACACCATGGAGGTATGCAAGCCCCCTAAATATCTGTAAAACCTCCTCTAATTAGCATAACGAAGAAAATTACAGAAGAAATCAAGCAGGGAAAAGACTACTATGCACACCTGGTAAGTGTAAAGTTTCACATAGATAAGTGGCATTCTTTGATTTGCACTGCTGTAATGGTTCAAAACCCTATACATGCTCTCCGGTACATATTCCATAACCAAGTTAAGGAAAAGCTCATTCTGAGTTGTGGTAGAAAAGAAACAATGCTTCAAGGAAATCACATTAGGATGATCCAGCACACGCATCAATTGCAGTTCACGGTTCTTATATCTTCTGTCTTGCAAAACCTTCTTTATAGCCACGGTCTCTCTCGTTTCCAAGCATTTTGCCTGTAAGGAAAGATGCATCAGCTTGTGAAATACCAACAAGGTAACATAGACTACAGTCTAAGTCTCGGTACCTGGAAAACAATCCCAAAAGATCCAGTCCCCACAACACGCTCTGCCATATAACTGATGGTCTACAATAATCAAAATATCGAAAGAAATGAAATTCCAAGTAATAGAAACTGGTTATCATCCTAATGTTGATCTTAACGGCATATTAGTTGATAGCTAAAGCAGAATTTGACAGATATGAAACTGGAAAACCCAAGAAGACACATACTTGTTTAGGTTCTCCATTTTTGCCTCCAATCGTTGTGGAAATGATGTGACCGGTGACTGGATCGTTCCCATCGACAACAGGGGCAGACATTTCCTGGTAAATTAAGAAATTTATGGTAAGAAAAAGAGGAGTGAGACTTTGAAGTAACACAAAAATTGGAGATCCAAATGAAACAGCCCTTCCCCGCAAAAAAATTATAAATAAGTCCAAAAAGAAATCGATATTATAATCAAACCCATTAAATATTTTAAGCTACAACGTTCACTCGGATGCGAAGAAAATTTCATCTAAGCTAAAAAGCACAAATCAAGCAATAAAAGTAAATAAAAAATTGATATAATTTCGCTCTCTTCAAAAAAAAAAAATTAAAAATCAAAATTGCAAAATGCATAGTAGAGATCACAGATCGAACAAATACAGAGCAAAATTTCACCATCTAGGGTTCCCCGATTGGCTCATCCAACAAGATCACCATAAAAAAAAAATAAAAAAGAGTATTTATAAAGAAATTTCCGTTTCATAACCATAGGAAAACAAAAAAAAAAAAATTTCTACAAATCTCATAAAATCTCACCGACATCCGAAAATAAACAGAATAACAAAAAAATTTGTTTTTCAAGCTGACTTTAAGAACCACAAAAAATAAGAACCAAAAAACCAAACAAAAGCTAGTAATAATCATGAACACGAATTTCACAACAATTAAACCAAAAAAAAAAAAAACGAAGATTCACTTCCGAATTCAGATGTCAGAAAAAAATGGGAAAAATATTTTACCTCGGCCATGACGAGCAACCGATAAAAAAAAAAAAAAGAAACCAAGAAAAGAGAGAAAACAAAGATCTAATTGGGGAAAGAGTAACGGAAGATCATGGTGTTGCGATAGAAGAAAAAAAGGGAAAATGATGATAAAGAACAAGAAGAACAATAATTAGAAGAAGAGAAGAGGAGGGAGGACCCAGGGGAGAGACAGCAAACTAATGCCCATGTGATTCCATCTCCTCCTCCTTTTTCCCCCTCTTTCGATTTAGTTTTTTTTCTTTTTTTTCTCTCACCCTTTTTGCCCGCATTATTTCTTTGTTTAATATTTATATTTTCTTTCTTTTCTTCTCGGTCATCTCTCTCTCTTTACTTTCCGTTTTCTTCGCTCCTCTTTTTGTTTCCAGACTTCCCAAACTACCCTTTGAATTCTCATCTAATTACAAAGAAGGGGATTTGAAATTTTCCCACACAATTTTTGGATAAAGTATTCGCCGACGTTTATTAATCATTGAGCTTTTTAACGTTCCGTGATTCGTCCCTTTCTTTTTAATATTCGTCACCGTTACCGTTATTATTGCGGATTTTATTTTATTTTTTTATACTCGTTTTTCATATATATTTTTTTATTGGAATAAATAGTATTTTCTTTTTTTTTTTAGATTGATGGTTTAATTTTATCCTCTTTGAGACACATATCATGAATGATGAAAACTTGCCAAAATATTGGTCACGTCATTGATGTATTTTTATAATTTATTTTATTTTATTTTTTCAATTATACCTAAATGTAAGTTTTTGACTTGGACTAAACCTTTAGTTTTGTTTGTAAAAAGTATTTCTAAAAAATAAAATAATTACATTTAAATATTTAATTTAATAATTAATATATGATTCTTTGCTTAAAAACCATTATTCAAAATTTTTTAAGTAAAAAAAATAATGTGATGAATTTTTATGTAATTAAAATTCAAAATTAAACATGCTTAACCCTTTGATGTAATGGTTAAGAAGCTTTTATAAAATTATAAAATTTTGATTTCGAATCAAATTTTTTTTTATAAATTATGTTCATCTTATGTAAAAAAAAAAATTTAAATTGACTTGGTGTAACAATTAAATTAATGGAAATTGTAAAAAAAAAATTAGTATAAAAGAAACGGTAAGATGTTGAAGGAGGATGACAACATCAAACAAAGGTTTTCAAAGAGTCTTATCATGAAATCTGTTGAAGAGTAAGAAAAGAACAGTGCTGTAGTCTAAGGTTATGACCATAAATTATTATTTCATCTCATCGTCCTACAAAATATTTTTGCAATAATATACTTTATATATTTATTATGCGGCTAGTGGAGTACGACTGATGCAAAAAATTTGCGGTCAAGGCCAAGCTTTGTGGTCATAGAGCCAGCTGTACACGCCAACTTGCCTCCAATTAAGAAAGGTTCAGCTATCATCAGGCATCAGCTCTCCCATTCAATTCAAACCGACCTAAATTGGATAACGATTTTTGCATGAAAATAGAATTGCTAGAGCCACACTGATAGGGTGAGTAATTCAATTCATTTCCGATAAATTTTGATTTAATTTAATTTTATAAGAATAATTTTTTTTAATTTAAATTTTAAATCGAATCAAATAATATTATAAAATAATTGAGATCGAATCGAATTCAAATTTTAGATAAATTTAATTCGATTTGATCAATATTATATAAAAAATTATTTTTTAATTAATTTTTTAATTTTTTATTTATATATATTTATATAATTATATTTTTAATATTTATATTTTAAAAAATAATATTTTATTAATTTCAAATCAAATCAAATCAAATACGATTTATATAATTGAATTAAAATCAAATTCAGATATGAAAAAATAAAAAAATTTCGAATAAAATCAAATTTAAATTTAATAACACATAAAATCAAATCAAATTTGGGACGAATAAAACCTGCCCGATGTCAACCTTAGCCACTGAGCCAGACAATATATCAACAATACCACCTACTTATTTTGGCTACTTATGCATGATTAATTTTAGATCAAATTAATGGCTTAACTAATAAATGTTGATTCAATGATAAAAAGTGTTCATTTTTTGTATTATTTAAATTTAAATTCGTTAAAAAATGTATTAAAAATAATTTTTATTATATTTTAAATTTGATTTAAATAAATTTATTTAGATAAATACGAAAAAAAAAAAGTGAAACCGCAAAATCCCTTATTGCTATTTTTGGTTCCATTGGAGGTTATCTTTCGTATATTCACGCCTTAATTGTACTATTATCTGTTTAAATTATAGATTTATATTAATATGTGATCTGTTTTTAGATTAGTCTTGCAAAGAAATTAAATAGAAAAAAAAAAAGAAAGAAAAACGGAAATGATGATGGCGATGATGAAAGTTGTTATGATGATGATTGTGTGCTTCATTATTCACGTATACGCATGAGAAACATTTTGAGTGGCCGGAATTGCTTCTACGGTTATAACAGTTCTACATGCAATTTTAGGTCATTATTTCCACAATTCTCATCTCATGCATCATGTGAATGTTATGAGTATATTCTTTGCATGTATCAGCATTTCAAAAGTCAATATCAGTTCATATACATTAATACAAAATCTTAACATTTATATAAAGAAAATTAAAATCCTTCAAGTTATAAAATCACCATGAATATATCCCATTGGATGTCCAATGAACTGGGGTCCCATGAACTATTTTTTTAACACTCAAATTGGGTCCAATATTTTTACCTTTCGGTGACTTTGTTTTTTAATTTTTTTAATTGGGCCAGTAACCTTTTCTAGTTTTCTACATAAAGGAAGAAAAAAATGAAGGTGTGAAAAGAGTTTTCACTGTTAATAATTTGACCAACCTGGTTGCGTCGGTGCGGTTGGTCAGGGCCTCTTTTGGTCAGAGTCAAGACCTGCTTGTTTCTGAAACCTGTGGTAACTGATAACTGGTAGCTTATATATACTGCATTAAGTTGTCCACGGTCACATTAGTACAATTCCTCCATCAAGATGGAGACACGTGTTCCTACGGGTTGCGTGTTGGATTCTTTAGAAATGGATGTACCGGGTAAAGTTAACCAAAGTACATTTATTTATACGTGCAAAGTAGAAAGTGCATACATACATGACATATTTTCAGCTGCTTTGTTTTTACTTTTGTAAAGGGATTTTTTTTTTCAAAAAAGCGCTGGAAATAAGTAAAACAAAATGTGTTAGAGATGTTGAAAAAAAAAAAGATCGAAGGAGATCTTGAAATATTAAATGTAGCAACAATTGATCATAGATGATAAAATAAAGCTGAGTATTAAAGAGAACAAGGGAAAAAAATTAGACAGGAGAAAATTGTAAAGAGAACTTGAAAAAGGATTTGCATAAATTTGTTGAGAACTCGAAAGTTTTTAAATGAATTATGAAAACTTTTATTCATAGATTTTAAGAATAAAAGTTACATAATATGAATTTAAGTAGGTGTAATGATAAAAATTGACAATTGCAATAAGTAATGTTAACTTTAATGTGAAAAACCTTAACATTGGCAGTAGACAAACTAGAGTTAAAGTTATTATGGATGGATGACTTTAATCTATTGTTTTTCTCAAGCCAGTCAGTTCGACCACAGGACATTTTCTTGTATGAACTAGTACTAAACGAGATTGGGTATTAAGGTTGAGTTTGATTTGATAATGAGAAATTGCCATGACTCTCACTTTTCCCTCTGTTTTTCACCAGCTTTAATGGAAAATTGTTGGATCATGTCCAATTTCACAATTTCACATACCCGTGGTGCTTATGTTTCTGGCTTCGATCTCTTAAGGATCCGAAAGTATACAGGAGTTTAAGCCATTGCAAACTAGATTCACTGTGCCATCGACGTTGCGGGAAATGGAACTTTTCTTTCACTGGATTTTTATTCAAGAACAAAGTCTAGCCCTAACAATCGAACAAAAATCGAATGTAAGCCCAAGAAAAATAGAAGCCCTTTCTTAAGCTGTTTAATCAATGCTTTCATGTGAGATTTCAGTAATAGGCCCATGATCAAGGCCGTCGAAGTACAGGTCCATTTTGATTCCAATGAATCACTGCTCTTCCACCCAAAGCTCATAGGCAAAGCTTGTTTGGTTTGGTTTGTCCAAGCCGCAAAGATCCAAAGTCAAATTCGTTGAAAACAATTCAGCATTAGCATTAAAAATTTCAAATGCGGACGGCATATGGCGCTCTCAATGGCAATTTTGTTTAATTCCATTCAAATTAGAAATCTAAATTAATGATAGAAAGCTAATGGCATCAGTTGTCTTGCAAATGCAGATCACCTAATCTTGGTAACCTTAGTCTTATCTCTAAATAAAAAATGACCCAATTCATTTCTTTTGTTTGTTTCCTGTAATTTTCTTGCAACTTCGCGATTACCCGTTTTCAATTTCTTAGCACAAATTTGACTAACTGAGCGAACAAGTAGATAGAAGAAACTTCACCAGACCACAGACAACGACAATTGGGCAACGAGATAGGGTACCCCAGGATACCAGCTTGCCTGACAGTTTTCTACATTGAAATAAATGTTTATTTCTTTTCAACCAATGTTCTTTTAAAGGCTCTATATTTATATATATTGCAAGTAATCTATATCCAAAATGGTTGACAAATTGAGGAAGAACAAAAATGCATTAGGTGTTGAGAATTTTCCAATCCTGGCAGCCACCAAGACATTAAGTATCACCATTCACATTCCTTTGTTTAACCACCAAGCTTTGTATCAATATAAAGATCAAGTCTCTAGCTACTCTATGCTAAATATGCATCCCGGAGTTATGGGTAATTCATGTTTCAATTTCCTTTCAATTTTGTTAATACAATGTTTCGTGGGCAGCTTAGTTATAACTGCAGCTAACCTTACCACAGATCAATCTGCACTACGGGAATTCAAAGACAACCTTAATTCCAACACTATATTAGCAAACAATTGGACAACTTCTACCTCTGTTTGCAATTGGGTTGGTGTTTCATGCTAGTTCCAACCCTGAAAGAGTCACCTCCTTAAATCTTCACAACATGAATCTTACAGGAACTGTTTCTTCCCACCTTGGGAACCTTTCTTCCCTCATTTCTCTCGACTTGAGGGGCAATGATTTTAATATCTATCTACCTTCGACAATTTATAACTTGACTTCTTTGCAAATCGTGGACTTAACATCTAATGGACTATCGGGTGATCTCCCTGATGATCTTTGTCACTATTTTCCCAAACTTGAGGTTCTTCGTTTGGCTTCCAATGAGTTCTCTGGAAATGTTCCTTCAAGTTTATGTGACTGTACCGATCTTCAAAATTTTTCGTTGTCTTATAATAGATTCAATGGATTCATTCCAAGAAGTATTGGGAATTTAACTAGGATCAAAGAAATATGTCTGGGTGGAAATAGTTTTCAAGGTATGCCTTTTTATATGTATTGTGTTTTGTTGGGAATGCGTAGGTGATGTTATATTTTCAAAGCGTGGGAAAAAAGATTGAATATTCATTCGTATTTGCAGGTGAAATCCCATGGGAAATAGGTAATCTTTCTAGTTTGGAGATATTTACTGCAGAAAATAACAGGGTTCTTACTGGTGGGATTCCATCTTCCATATTTAACATTTCTTCTTTGACACAACTTTTCTTCAACAACAGTCTTTCCTGTGGTTTACCAGATAATATGTGTAATCATCTTTCCAAACTTGAGGTGCTTGATGTGACTTTTAATGGATTCACCGGTCATAATCCATCGAGTGTAGGTGAATGTAGCAATCTTCGAAATTTATCACTGTCAACAAATCGATTCAATGGGACCATTCCAAGAAGTATTGGAAATTTAACTAGCCTCAAAGGACTGTCTCTGCGTGAAAATGATTTAACAGGTAAGTGTTTTTAGTTTGACAGTACTAACCATGGTTGGAACCTTGTCCATTTAATTTGCACAACCACATAGACAAGCAATTTGATCAATTTAATCACTTTAGATATACTTTCACCTAGTCTGTTTTGCAATATTTTCCTTCTCTAAAATTGATGAGATATCTTTTTTAATGCTTGCAGGTGAAATCCCACGGGAAATTGGGAATCTTTATTCATTGGATATATTGGCGGCGCAGCATATGCGTCTAACTGGTCCCATCCCACCTTCCATCTTCAACATTTCTTCTTTAAATGAAATTTCTCTCCACAACGATAGTTTGTCTGGTAATCCACTTATGAACATCTGCTACCTTTTCTAACGTATATTTAAGTATCAATATAAAAGAAATAGTCATAAAATCAATAATAGGACAATCAAGATAATACCTTCAAATTTGATTCATATTAGTATTATCACATACTTAGGTCAAGCAATTTTGAAGAAAATTCTGATTAGGATTTGGTTCTTCTTAGTACAGATTCAATAGTCCCTGGCACCAAGTTTTTTCAAGATGATATAATTACATGATTCTTCTTATGTTATCCTTTGTTAAAAAATGTAAAATTAATAAGATAATAAAATGTTTTATTCAACAAAAACATGACTGATAAAAATCCGAAACTTAATTTAATTGGTTTTTATAATCAATTTTAAAAATTAACATCAACAAATCTAAAATTTCAAATAACGACTTTCTTTATTAAAAAAAGAGAAAAAATGACTAATATATTTTGCTATGGTAAATTGAAAGTGCAATGTTCATGATTCTCTCTTGAAATTAATAAACTTTAGATGATGAAAGAAACAAAAAGAATAGCAAAAGGCATAGATAGCATTAATGACACCTCTCCTAATTATAGAAAATATAAGTACAACAATTTAAATATGTATAAACTATGAAATAAAGGCTTTGATTTTGATAATTAATGCACTTCAATCCTTGTTTTGACACTTTGGCAGGTTAATACTTCTTACTTTTTTTCCTAGGAAAATTACTTAATGCATAGACTTGCAAATTGCTTCTTTAAGTTGAACCATAGAATCATGTTAATGCGACAAGGCATCCTAATTAAAACTTGAAGCGTTTGCGTGCATTTTGATAGGTGAAATACCATCTATGATCTCAATTACAAAACTTGTGCTACTTAAACTATGGGGAAATAATCTCAGCGGCAATATTCCTAATTTTACCTCCAATGTTTCTAAGCTCAAAACCTTATCACAAGAAAGAAACTTATTCTCTGGTCTCTGGTCTTATTCCAAATACACTTGGCAATTTAAGATTCCTTGAGCGGCTGAGCCTTGAATCTAATAATTTGATCACCCAACCTTCAACATATGAGTGGAGCTTTCTCTCTTCTTTGGCAAACTGCAGGAATATGAGATTTTAGGGGTATCATTTAATCCATTCAAGGGCAACCTTCCAAGTTCTATCTCAAATCCATTCAATATTTCGTTGCCTCAGGTGTCAAAATTACTGGCAACATTCCCAGGGAAATTGGTAACTTAAGCAATATTACAACTATAAACCTTTCCCATAATAAATTGAGTGGATCTATTCCAGCAACAATAGGGAGGCTACAAAATATCCAGGGTTTGTATCTTGACGGTAATCACTTAGAAGGGTCTATCCCCCCAAGTGTCTGTGATTTAGAGAGATTATATAATCTATCATTAGGTGGCAACAAGTTCCATGGCCCTATACCAACTTGTTTGGCGAATTTGACTTGTCTGAGGTATCTTTACTTAGGCTCCGATGAATTCAATTCAACTATGCCTTCAAGCTTGTGGAGCCTTAATGATAACTTAGAGGTGGACTTGTCCTCAAATTTTCTGAACGGTTCCCTTCCACTAGGCATTGAGAAACTGAAGGTTTTGACACATTTGAATTTGTCAAGGAACATGTTATCGGGTGAAATCTTAATTTCAATTGGAAGACTCCAGGATCTACTTTCTCTAGACTTATCCAATAATAGATTTGATGGTCATGTTCCTGACTCATTTGGTGTTTTGAGAAGTTTGGAATGCTTGGATTTATCCAACAACAATCGTTATTGAGTAATTCTCAAATCTTCGAAGAGATTTTTGTAGACACCCAATTGGATTCAGGATCGGATCAATTGGGTTTGGTCCAATGAGAATAGTAAAGCTCAAAGTTGAGATTGATTAATTAATTTTTTTATTATTTATTTATTAATATTTTTTTGACTTTATCTTTTTTTGATTAATTCTCGGTTGGGATTAAAAGATTATGATCAGAAAAAATTGAAATAAATTATGTCGTGAATAAGGCTAGTAGGAAGTCATAGATAGATTCAACTAGTGTCTGATAACCCAAAAACCCAATCAAAAAGGGAATCTGGATTAGTCAAGGACTCTGAGGTTGATTCCCTATAAATATACATTGATCAAATACAGAAAAGGATACGAAACAGAAGAAAACAAAAGTCAAAAAAAGATTTTGGATGGTAGAGATAGTTTTAGAATTTTTAAGTTTTTTTTTTTGAATTTTGGGGTTTTTTTTGGGAAAATTTTTGGAAAATCCAAAATCTGATCAAATTTTCAGTGAATTTTTTGGTCAACTTTGATTTTTTTGGCCAAATTTTCCAATTTTTGGTGGGTTTTTTCAGATTTCAGTAAAACATTTAATCGGAATATGGGTTTTTTTAGACAGAGGGGAAAGAGAGAAAGAGGGAAGGAAGGCGTCTGAAAAAAATCGAAAGCTTTTGCCTTTTATACCTTCAGAAAAATGACGTCGTTTTGGCCTTACTAAATCTCAGAGGATCAGCATGTTTTGTCATCGAGTGACCCGACCCGAGTGCCAACCCGCTTTTGACCCGCATCTGACCTGAGTGCCAGCCGACCCTTGGAGTCGAGCGAAACCGAGCTGCGCACTCTCGAGCCACATTTTTGAGCCATTTTTCTTCTTCAAGTCGAGCCAAATCCACACCGAGCCAAGCCGTTCCAAATTTTTTTTCATTTATTTATTTATTTATTATTATTATTATTCTTATTATTATTATTGTTATTAATATTTCTAAATTAGAATTATTTGGTATTCCTTAATTTTTTAATTTTAATTTAATTTATTTTTTTAATGATTTTCCTAAAATAAAATTTCCAAAAAAAAAATTTTGAGGAAAAGTTGAAAGTATCAATTTTTCTTGAAAATAAAATTAAAAAAATATTTTTGAAAGAAAGTTGAATGTATCGTTTTCCTTTGAACACAAAAATAAAAAGTAGGTTTTTGGAAAAAAGTTGAAAGTATCAATTTTTTTTTGAAAATAAAAATGTTAAAAAATATATTTTTAGGGAAAAGTCGAAATATCAATTTTCCTTAAAAATTAAATTTCTAAAAACAAAAATTACCAAGAAAAGTATTTTGAGAAAAAGTTGAAAGTATCAATTTTTTTCGAAATTAAATTTTTTTTAAAAATATTTTAGAGAAAAGTTGAAAATACCAATTTTTCTTAAAAATAAAAATTATCGAGAAAAATATTTTTTTTTAAAAAAGTTAAAAGTATTAATTTTTCTTGTACAAAAGCAATGAGTTTTTTAAAATGAAAAGAAAATGATTTATATCAAAAGTTGAATCATTATTCTTTATTTTATTTTATTTTATTTTTCTTTTCTTGAAACTTTTTAATGTTAAATAATCCGACGACGGAGCCTCTGCAAGAAAAACAGTAGTTTTCTTGCATACTCTTGAGGTGAGAAAATTTTCTTAATTTTCTACCAAAAGTATTGAAGTCAATTAAGAATAATTTTTAATAATTAATTATTTGATAAATTTTTAGGGTTAATGGATAACATGAAATCAAGCTGGTTCAATCCTTCGATGGGCATTGTGAGGGTGCTATAACCTTCCTCACTTATAACCGAACTCCCGAACCCTAATCTGATTAGTAGACCCGAACTTATTCTTTTTGGGACCCTTAAGCTTAGGTGTCTCTTGAAAGGATAGATTCCTTAGGTGGCCAATCGCACCTAAACAAAAAAGATTGGTGGCGACTCCTCAAGTCAATGTCTAGCTATAGATCTCCAGATCTATAGTTATGACAGTTTAGCGACTCCGCTTGAGATCGAACCAAGAGTCAAGCCAGCAAATAAATTCGTGTTATCCAAAAGCCTAATAAAATTAAACATTTTGTATAGATTTTTTTATTCATTCATATTTATTTACTTTGTTAATTTTGTCATTCATATATATGTGTATAACCTGAGCTCTATACCCAAGCTCTGTCCCTCTAGGAGGGAGTGAAGTACCTATTGCTTTCGTGAGGTTTTAATACCTCCGCAGTGGCTAACGAAATACTCCCACTCAAATTGAATCTTTTTCGTTTGTAGCCTGTAATGGGTGAGAATTAGGTGCCTTACTAGTCTGTAATGGACGATAATGTAAGGAGTAATTTGGAAACCTTTAGACTTTAATCTTGAACCACATATAGTGAATCTCAGAAGTGTCTAATCTATAGATAAAGCCATCTTCTTCCCTTTAGAATTGATCAAAAGCATAAGATTCATTCTTCTTATTATGTGTGATATTTTAATTTATTTAGTTATTTATTTATCTCTCTTTATTTGATGTACTAACATTTTCTCTTATTCATGTTTGCATGATCCATACTCATATCATAAAGTTATATAAAGAACATTTGCCAGAAAGATGGTCTTCAACAATGAGTTTTTCATAGACTCTACAGAACGATTAGTTTACTCTTCGTCTCTATTAGCTCATTATGAGTCACCCAACAAAGTAAAGGTTCAGTTAGAAAAGATTCAACTAAAGATAAAAAATTGTTTACCAATCGGCTATGCTTCTACCTTGTTTCAAGAAACATCTATCCTCCTCAAACAAAATAATTTAGAGGATTTGATTGATATATGAAAGAAGATGAGTCCATCAAGACAAGAGGAGTTTTGCCAGAGACATGAGCATATAGCATACCTTCTTGCAGTAAATGTTGACAATCAATTAATTAGAGTTATAGCGCAATTCTGGAATCCTGCATACAAGTGTTTCATTTTGAATGAAGCTGATATGACATTAATCATCGAAGAATATTCCACTTTGTTG